TATATTTGGTTTCTTTTTTAATAATTTCTTTATTGAGAGTCTCTATTTGGCATTATTCTCATGGTTTCTTTTCCTTCCCTGAGAATATTTTAAATTGCTGATTTAAAGTTTTTGTCTAGTAAGTGTGATGTCTGGGCTTTTCCATGAATAGTTTCTGTTTTTTTCTGTGTATGGCTATACTTTGCTTCTTGCATGCTTGTAATTTTGTGTTGAAAACTGGACATTTTGAATATTATAATCTGGCAACCCTGGAATCTGATTCTCCACTCCTTCCCATAGTTTTTTGTTGCTGCTGTTTCGTGATTTTTTTCCCCTGATATTGTAAAGTCTGTATTCTTTGTTGTGTATGACCACTGAAATCTCTGTTCCATTAGCTTAGTGGTTAGCTAGTGATTCATCACAGATTTCTTTAAATGCCAAGACTCAGTTTATTTTTTCTTGAGTAACTATTCATCTGGCTGCTGTAAACCTTTGATTTGTTTCCAGAATTCCAATAAAGTTGATTCTGACAGTCTTTGCCAGTTTATTGGCTGATTTCGTGAAGGCAGGCTTTTGTAATACACTGTTCACCATTTCTCTCTGACATCACTGATATTCTACTTTTATCTAAGAAAGTGGATAAATATTCTACCTACCTACTTATTCCTCTATGTAAAAAAAAAAATCCATAAAATTGAAAGAAAATAGATCCTTGTGGGACAAGGGATGAAACAGGGACAGGAGCTAGACTTTCTTTTTTTTGAAAAAAGTTTATTTAAACAATAGGGAGAACTATCTAAGGTTCATTTTTTTTTTTCCATAAAATTGAAAGAAAATAGATCCTTGTGGGACAAGGGATGAAACAGGGACAGGAGCTAGACTTTCTTTTTTTTTGAAAAAAGTTTATTTAAACAATAGGGAGAACTATCTAAGGTTCATTTTTTTTTTTTAAAGTAATTTATCCCTACCGAAAGCCAGATTGCCTTACATGTAAGAACTAATAAAAAAAACTTATAAAATTGGCCTTGGTCTTATATTAAATTCTCCAATCAAACACAGTATGCAAGGACTTTTATTTTTTGTTGTTGTTCTTAAAACAGTGAGAGCAAAATAACTTACTGGAATATAAAGAGCTGAATGAGCATGCCACTAATGGAGAAAGGAGTTATTTTCACAGAACCAGTATTTTTCCCCATTCCATCTCCATTTGATGTCAACCAAAACATACCACTGGCCATTTAAGAGAGAAAAAAAGTAATACGCTTTGCACATACACCAGATACTTTATGTACAATAAAGAAATGGGGAAGGAGGAAATGAAAGAATGGAGGAAATGAAAGAATAGAGGAAACTATACTGTAGTAGTCAGGATGTGCTGGAAACGAATTGTGGTTTTCTAATTGAGAACGTATTCTTGGTTTGTAGGAACACATTTCTGGAGTAAAGCAGCAGGCTCCCTTTTTAGCAGACACTTCCTACCTGCCACTGGAACACATCATTTGTATCTTCATCCTCTGTTTCCAACTGTGCAGGAGTATTTGCTTCATTGCATGGATACCTTTTAAACTGGAATCTGACCTGCTTCATTGACAAACCCTGTCATTCACAATAGGGTTTCATTAGTTTACTAAGTAGTGTATGCCTCTTAATCTTAAACTGTACCACAGAACCATCCTGCCCTGCCACCTTTAAATTAACATAATCACTGTTCTCAGTCTTGACTCCTTCCAAATCTGTCAACTTCTCTTCATTTGATGGACTTCTGCTGGTCCTTTTTGGGGGAGCAAGAGGCTTAAGGACTCAGATGTGAGACAGGCCAAAATAGGCAACTAGATTTTTAAAAATATACCTTGTTTTGCAGATTTGACTTTGGATCCACATATTGTACATAATTATAAAAAATCAAAATATTAGAAAAGCAATACCTAAACAAACTATTCTCAGAGTCTCAAACTTAACAGGTCTAACATTTATGTGGAGAAGTTGAATTCAGATAGTCTGTCTACAGATGGTACAAGTTTAACCATTATGCTAAACTATGTAATAACATAAGAGGCATAACATGGGTAAAGCACCTAGCAAATCAATAATATTAGCTCCCTTCCACCAAAACAAAACAAAATTACTTAGTTTAGGAAACAAACACAAATGTCTTGCCATTTTTGTTCTAGGCCCATACAAAGGGCTCACTATGTCCAATAGTGAAAACTGAATAAATCAAAGCTATAATTATAAACATTTGGCCGACAAGTCTACTTTTTGATCAGTGATGGGGAAAATATACCTACTGGAATAGGGTTATAAGCGAGTCTTACATTTTCCTTACAAAACTAAAGGTTTGATAAACAGACTTATTTTTGGACACCCACAGTTACTTGAATAAAAGTGCTCATGAAATAACTTCAACTCCTTTCATTTTCTGTTAACACCACCAGTTATGCACTAACATCAGAGTCTCACATCTTATTTGTCACAACTCCTGACTCCACTTCTCTTAAACAGTATCTTGAACTGAGCTACCACTCTACATTCCCACTCCTTCAGTCTGTACTTGTATTTCCTACCGGGACTACCAAACTGGTCTTTCTTACTTCCATTCTTATCTTTTTAAAATTCATTTTCCATTATGCCTTTAGAATTTTTACTAAAAATTAAATGGTGGCACTATGTTGCTTATGTCAATTATTCAGTTATGTCCCATCATGTACAGTGGTGATTTTTCAAAATGTAATCCTAGAAGACTCGACTCACTAGAATTGCTTCAGTGATAAGGCAGAAGCTATAAGGATAACGTTCCCTTGTCATCTCTGTTCTTCAACCTCCAATCAGTTGCTTAATTTGCTTATATGTCTGTGTTAAATTATTGTTTGTAAAAAGGCGTAGAAAGGATTTCCCAAACTCAAGCTCTTCGTAATGTTGCTTCTAGCTATCTGTTTAGATTTAATTTACTATTACTGCTATTCATAAGCTCTATACAACCAGCCATTATCAAATCTTTAGTTTGCAGAGTTAGGAATGTTGTTTCATGCTTTATTCTTTGAACAGCTATTTCTTCTACTCGTAATGCTATTCTCTCCATGTCTCAGGAAACGTCTAGAAACAACCTCTGCTTAGAGATAACAGAAATCCATGAAGTCCCTAGGCAGTTTCTGGTTTCCCTTTCTCTTCCTATAGCAGCACTCTGCATATTCCGCTATTACAACCTCTACCCCTGTTTAATTTTTAAATCACTGACTAACACTTTTGACCTTGGACAAGTAACTTAACCTCTCTAGGACATTGGTTTCCTCATCCTCAAAATGGGGATAAGTATAATATCTAGCTCACAGAGATGCTGGGAGTTTAATGTGGTAACACATGAAAGGGCTTGGGGGAGTGACTGGCACATTAGATTTATTTGAATGTTAGATATGATTACTACTGGTGACACCACCACTGCCACTGCTCATCTACACGGGTCTATTAAACTATGAGCTCTGAGGGATTATTTATGCATCCCCCCTGGCACATTAGATTTATTTGAATGTTAGATATGATTACTACTGGTGACACCACCACTCCCACTGCTCATCTACACGGGTCTATTAAACTATGAGCTCTGAGGGATTATTTATGCATCCCCAGCACATAGCTCCTACTAAAAACCCAATGATGGAATGAATTGATCTACATTCTTTAACATGCAGTATAAATATGGTCACTCATTCAATATTATCCTCACGTTGAAATTATTATGTATTCCCTAGTGCCTTCAGCTCCTTCTTTTTGCAAGAGATATTATTTGATATAAATATTCTAATTTCCTAAGAGTATGCTTTTTGTAGCAAATTAAAACAAAATAAGTTTATGTTTGATTTATTTAGATGTTAGAGGCAATTTCCTTGTACTTAATATATTTCAATAGACTTATCTAATTAGAACAGATACCCATTGTGATGGTTAATTTTACCTCAACTTGGCTAGCCCATGGGTGTCCAGATATGGTCACATATTATTCTGGATGTTTCTGTAAGAGTGTTTTTGGATGAAATTAGCATTTAAATCAGAGGACTTTGAGTAGAGCAGATTGCCCTCTGTAATGTGAATGGACTTCATCCAATCAGAGGTGCTGGCTGGATGAAACAAAAGAATAAAGAACTGACTTCCCTCTGCAAGAGGGAATTCTGCAGCAGCCAGCCTTTGGACTTGAACTGCAATTCAGTCTCTTCCCTGGGTCTTTAGCCTGATGACCTTCAGTCTTCAACCCAACATCAGCTCTTCCCCTCCCTCGGTCTCCAGCCTGCCGGCCTACCCTGCAGATCTGGACTTACCTCCATAATCATGTGAAGCAATTCCTGAAAATAAAACCCTATACACACTCTATTGGCTCTATTTTTCTGGAAAACCATAATTCACCCACCTAAAGAATATATATATGAAATTAAGTTATAGACCAATCTATAATGAAAATAGATTTCAATGAAAAAAGGTCTTTATATGCATAGAACGAAACATTTCTTTTTAATATATATGAACAGATGTTCCTCAACTAATGATAAACCTACCATAAGTTGAAAATATCATAATTCCAAAATGCATTAAATACACCTACCAAACATCATAGCTTAGCCTAGCCTACCTTACATGTGCTCAGAACACTTACATTAGCCTCAGTTGTGCAAAATTATCTAATGCAAAGCCTATTTTATAATAAATTGTTGAATATCTCATGTAATTAATTAAATACTGTACTAAAAGTGAATGATTATATACTCAAAGTATGATTTCTTTGGAATGCATATCACTTTTGCACCACCATAAAGCTGAAAAATCAAGTCACACCATCGTAAGTTGAGAACCATCTGTGTGTGTGTATATATATATATGAGTACATGTAATTATACATGTAAATAAAATCATATGTAAAATATATAAAATTATATGTATCAGGGACTAAGAATCCTTTAGTCCCTGATACATATAATTTCCTTTATTTCCTTTTGATAGCATCCTGTTATCTATACAGAGTAAGAAACCAGAAAGGAGAGAAATTATTGCAGCTTTATTTTAAATTGCAAAATGACTTGTTTCATATGCTTAAGACAAAATTTAAATCATATATATGAATACAAAAAGAACATGCAATTAAATACTGAAAACATCCTGAAACAATATAATGTATACTTGTAAACCAAGGTTTTATTTTTACAACATAGTGAAAAACCAAGTTCATTAAAAAGTACATAGGAAAATGTAATAGTTAATGATTCAAGTGTTCTCTTTTCAAATATATGGCTCTGAAGGTAGGTTACTTAAGTTTCACATCACTTACAAATCCACATACAATGCAACAAATAGATTTATATTAATTATAACATTTTCCTTCAGTTAACAGTTTATTCACTGTGATTCACAGAAGCTCTGTGAAGGGTCATCATGGAAGGAACTTCCTGGGTTAGAATCACAACTAAATTTTGAACACTTGGTCAAAGGAATATTAAAATACCAGGTCCTGGTATGATGAGTAGATATAAATAACCCAGGAAGTGGTATACCTCAGATAAAGACCGTCTTAACTAAACTCCACAGTAACCTTTTGGGCAAGTGGTACATACTCTTATTAAAGAAAAAGTCTTTATTGTTGAGGGCATTGGGTCTCTGGAGTTGATTTGGAGGACACGTACAGAATAGGGTGTGATTTCTTACAAGTTTCCTTTTCCAATTTGCTTGCAGTTTCTTTCCCTTCTTTAATTTCTGTTTGAAGCCTTGATTCAGCAGCTAACCTACAGGTATTAAAGCATCCACTCTGAATTCAAATGTGGTTAAGAAAAATTAAAGAGGAAACAAAACACTAGTACAACGGGCCATCAACGAGGCATGGTGATTGATATATTTTATAGATATAAGGAAAAAAATTATAGTTAACTCCCATACCATTAAGAATACTAAGTCACCCTATAATTAACAATTTATTGTATATTTCCAAATAGCTATAAGAGAGGATTTTGAATGTTCCCAACATAAAGTAATGATGAATGTCTGAGGTGATAGATATGTTAATTATCCTGATTTGATCATTACACATTGTGTACATGTATCAAAATATCACTCTATACCTTATAAATATGTACAATCATTACACATCAATTTAAAAAAAAGAATACTAAGTCACTGATACTCTAAAGGAACCTTTTTATATCAATGGGCTTAATTTTTTAAATGTCTAAAGAAGATCTTTAAGGTTGATTAAATGTAGTAACAATGCCTAAATTAAAGTATTAAAATATGGTGGGTTGCCTATCATGATAAGCACACCTAACACAAAAACCAAAATGCTAGAGCAGTATTTAATGTTAACATGACATACAAAAGTCTAAGACCAACATAAAAATAACACGGAATCCTGGCTGCATGAACAAATGTCTATTTGTCTCATTAAAATAAAAAAACAAATCCTCAAACTGAGTTTCAACTAGCAGAATAATTAAAGAAAAAATAAACAGTTGGAGAGAGATTTAAAGGACCTGTAAAGATTCTTTACGGTAAGACATTAAATTCAAAGAGCATGCAATAGTGAAATTCCCAAACAAACCAATATTTTATCTTATCCAAAATTTATCTTAGGATTGTGTTTAATTTAAGCATGCAGAAAACAAAAGGCTAGAAACATCTTAAGTTAGTAGATGGACTCACACACACACACAAAAACAAATATTTTGTTGTTTTTTATTTGTTTTTGTTTAATTAGCAAGACAAACATTTTCCAACGTGTTACTGAACTTCAGTCAAATGATTAGCTACATATACTTGCTTAAGTAATTTTTACCAAGCAAAAAAAGGCAGAAAAAGAAACAAAGACAACACAGATAGCAAGGCTGGCCCCGATCACTTATGGAAATCCACTTCCACTGGTCAAGAACACTTACACAATGAATCACAAATAAACAAGCATAATCTGCTGAATTCATTTCAGAACTATTTGGAAACATGTATATGTATATATATATCAGGTATCAATCATTTGAAGTTAATTTTTCATTAAGAATATCAAGCTATTATTTCATGTGAATTATAGATTATAACATTATATAAAAATTCAAGGAAGGGAGTAATAAATTACTCTTCCTTATGGTAATAATAGCAGGTAACATTGCTAAAGTGCTTTGATTATTGAGTAGTACATTTAGAGCACTGAACACTTGAAATCAGACAAAATATACTAGGAAGTCCTTTTACATACGATGTGTCTTTCTCTTTTTCTACTCAAATGCACATTAGTAAAATGTCTTACTCTGTACTCATCTAAGACTGATGCAACCATAGCAGCACCTTAAAGATCTCATTTCATAAGAGACAATCTAAGCTAGTTACTGTCACATCAATGTTTAATTTTTTAAATGTCTAAAGATATTTATTTTAAATGCATCTCTCATTCCACCTGCATACAGATATCCTTCATCTTTCTTTCACTCTCTCCGTTTTCCTCATTCACTTCTTTTTTGTACCCCACTCTTGGTCCTGCTGTGCGCAGCCAGAACTCTGGCCTCAGCCACCGTTGCCTACCTTCCCCTTCCATTTACTTTCTCTTACTTTCTGACCCCTATTATTTTTATTTTTTTAAAGGACAAGGCCCTTGGAACATTAATTCCTTCAGACACACATGTCTGACACTTCTTTTAGTCACAAACTCAATTATGCAGAAACTGGAGGCTTTCATGTTTTGGAAACAATGAAAATGAATTAGCTTTGATACTTAAAAATGTCAAAATAAGCCCATTCTTGAAGGCTTAGGATAAACAACTTCAAAAGCCAGAATAAATTTTGCCTAAGTTTTCTAGAAGACTGAAATTTCTTAGACTACTGGAAAGCCCTTTGAGAAGGTAAGTTAATTTTTCTTTCATGGTCACTCATGAACCAAAAAGAAAATAGCAGTACATTTATTCAAACTGACAAAACATTCAGAATTTAGACTGTCATATTTCTGTTTCATGAAACAGAAAAGTGTAACTTTTTAAAATAACTCCCTTATTCGGGAGTTCTTTCCCCTTGCAATCATTTTCATCTTCCTTAAAGTTTTGGAAAAGTTGAAGATAGGCAGATGAAACTGGGGAATTACACTGCATGCAATGCTAAGAAAATAGATAAAGAAACAGATAGCACAGTTCATGCAGCGGGAGAGGAGAGATGGAGCAGTCTGCTGGTTGCCTTGAAGAAAAGAGGACACTGACCTGGAAGAGTTCAGGGTGTTTCCACTTCTTTCACTTAAGGCCTCAGAGTCAGATGGAACTCCTATGAGTTTCACAGATTTCTTCTCTTTCTTCGGCAGGATATCCATGGACAGATTTTTGTGAGGTGAGCGAGTGACTACTGGGGTGTTTACAGAAACTGATTTTTCTAACTGCAAGTTGTTATCTTCTAAATTGTTAGAACAGGACTGTGTCTCCTCTTTCTGAGGCAGTAGTCTGTAAACTTCTTCCCCGATAGCACTATCGGCACACACATCTTTACGGGTGGCTACATCCACAGGCAGCACCTCACGCCTCTTTTTGAGTACAGGAACTTGAGGTGTCTCTGAGAATAAAAACCATTTAAAAAAAAACCCAGTCAATGAATGAAAACAAAGTCACAACGTAAAGAAGTAGAACCAATTATATATACACTTTTCCCCATTCTTTCAAAATCCACTCATCTATTTACAGAAATAAATCGTTTTTAACTTTTATCTTTTCTTTTTCATGGATATCATCAACTATCTTTTCAAATTTATCTGGCTATAAATTTTTCCTTGGGAACTCAATATATTTGGTTCTAGGAATGAACACTTTGTTCCTTCCTGGTGTTTTGATAAAAATTGCAAAGGGTGTAGGGTTCATAAGATCTCAGCATGGAGATGAGGATGCAGTGGCAAAGAGTCAAGAAGTCCAGATTCAAGTCCTAGTACTAGCACTTAGCAGCTGGGTGACCCTGAGTACCTTTTCAGAGCTTCATTTGCTTCATCTTTAAAATAGGGATTAAAAGCACCCACTTCACTCAATTTTACATGTTGTAATGATTAAATGATAAAAACAGGTCAGACTCTCTAAATATTGGTAATTTATGCCTCTTAGCTCCACCTACAAAATATATTCAGAATCTGACTGCTTCTATGATGGATACCACCCCAATCCAACCACATTATGTCTCACACTGATGACTGAAATAGCCTTCTATCCTCATGGCCTAACATCATTCTATGTCCTACGCAGGTCACATACAGTCACTGGGTAACTGCTCTAATATCTTTTCCCTACCACTATAACAATGTGTGTTTCATTTTCAAAATCAAAATATTAGTGGAGTCTGAGGTACCACGGTAGGAGGAGGAGATGGTGCTCTTGCTCTACACTGTTGCATTTAGATCATTCTTTCCCCTTTCTCTTCCACTGCGCCTTTGAAATTCACATTATCTGGATTTACTACCCTTTCTCCTGTCTCTTTGGTTTGTTCAGTTCAGCAGACCTTTGAAATTCATAACAAATAATTCTTAATCTGGGGAGCCTATTAGAATAGGGAAGAGAAAAATAATGAGAGAAAAAGAAGCCTTTTTAACTGTATAAAAATCTTCTCATTGTGTCAAAACCTCCCCGCTATTGTGGAGAACCACTGCAGTTCACTGAGACAATAATGAAGAGAGTTAGGCACATGACCACTGTATGTGCAAAAACTGGCTGAGAATTGTTAACCTAAAACATGTAATGACACTTTTTGGGCAGGAGGAACTTAGAACCAGGGCAGGGGGAACTTAGAACCATCACATTCTTATACTTCTTTACATTTGGCTATTTGATTTCCTTTTTAATTTATATACAGCAAAATGTACTCTTTGTAGCATATAAGACACAGAGATTGTATGGCTAGGCTATTCTCTATCTCAGTGATTAGACTTGCTAGATGTTCCCTTATTATCTGTCTTACTGTTCTTCCTTAATAATAAAATTCCCAAAATTTAGTTAGGAGCATAGCCCCTGTGAATCAAGACTGAATTTCTCAGCCTTTCCTGAGGCGGGTGAGGCCACATGACTAATTCTACTCAATGAGATGGCAGCAAACCAACAACACAGAAGGAGCTTGAATCCTGACATTGTGGAGTGCTTTGCCAGTCCTAAAACGCCTCCTCCAAACTTTCATTAGGGGGAGGAATAAATACCTATCTTGTTTAAGTCTTCATTATTTTAGGTTTTCTGTGAACAGTCCTAACTAGTACAGCTCTTTAACAAAATTACCAGCTGCTTCAATAAAACTAAACTGTTTGGTAAGACATAAGATGCTGCAATCTTAAATGGAAAAGTTTCAATGGTTAAGTTTCTACTCTAAAGTATGATAAATTTAGATATCCAAAAGAATACGTATTATATTCATGCATAATCAGCATCCAGTTCTTTATTTTCCTACACATTTTACAGCATTAAATTTTAGGTATATAACCACAAATAAGTTTGTAATGGGATTTGCATAAATCTATAGTAAAAAAAAATTTTTGAAAAAATTTTTCAGAATTACTTGTGATTTAAAAGACAAAAATAGGGGCCGGCCTGGTGGCGCACTGCTACAGTGCGCCGCTTGGGAGTGTGGCGGTGCTCCCGCCGAGGGTTCGGGGATGGAAAAATATATACCACACAAATGGAAACCAAAAAGGAGCAGGAGTAGCTAAGCTATTCTTACATCAGATACAATAGACTTTGAACCAAAAACCAAGAAAAGACACAAAGAAGGCCACTATCTCATTATATCAGTTAATCACTCTATCACTTTGTCATTATAAAGGGATCTAACCAGCAAGAAGACATAACAATTATAAATATATATGCACCCAACACTGGAGCACACAGATATATAAAGCAAACTCTATTAGACCTAAAACAAGAGACAGACCCCAAAACAATAATAGTTGGGGACTGAACATCCATCCCTCTCTCAGCATTGGAAAGATCACCTAGGCAACAAATCAACAGAGAAACACAGAATTTAAACTACTTTAACCAACCAGACCTGGCAGATAGCTACAGAACATTTCATCCAACAACTACAGAATATACATTCTTCTCATCAACACAAGGAACATTCTCCAGGATAGACTACATGTTAGAACACAAATCAAGTCTCAACACATTTTAAAAAACTGAAATCATTTCAAGTATGTTTTCAGACCACAGTGGTTTAAACTTTGAAATCAATAACAAGCAAAACTTAGGAAACTATACAAATACATGGAAATTAAACAACATGCTCCTGAACAACTTATGGGTAGAAGAAGAAATTAAACAGGAAATCAAAAAACTCTTAAAACCAATGAAATAAAGACACATCACACCAAAATCTGTGGGATACTGCAAAAGTGCTAAGAGGGAAGTTTATTACAATAAATACTTATATCAAAAGAATAGAAAGATTTCAAATAAACAGCCTAATGCTGTATCTCAGAGAACTAGAAAAGCAAGAACAGTACAATCTACAAAATTAGTAGATGGAAAGAAATAAGATCACAACAGAGCTAAGTGAAATAGAAACTTCAAAAATGATTCAAAAGATCAATGAAACAAAAACTTGATTTTTTGAGAAGATAAACAAAATAGACAAACCATTAGCTAGGCTAACTAAAAAAAGAAGAGAAGACCCAAATAAAAATCAAAATGAAAAAGGACACATTATAACCAATAGCACAGAAATACAAAAAATCATTAGAGACTATTATAAAAAACCATATGTCAATGAGTTTCAAAATCTGGAGGAAATGGATAAATTTCTGGACACGCAGAAACTACCAAGTCTGAACCAAGAAATAACAGGAAACATGAAAAAACCAATAATAAGCAACAAAATTGAAGCAGTAATCAAAGCCCAAGACCAGATGTCTCTACTGCTGAATTCGATCAAACCTTTAAAGAGGAATTAATACCAATTCTCTTCAAATTATTCCAAAAAACTGAACCAAAGCCATTCTCCCAAACTCATTCTATGAGGCCAGCATCACTGATACCAAAACCAGACAAAGATACAACAAAAAAGAAAACTACAGGCCAATATCTCTGATGAACACATGCAAAAATTCTCAACAAAATATTAGCAATCAGAATACAGCAACACATCAAAAAAAAAAATTATACACCAGGATTAAGTGGAATTTATCCCAGGGATGCAAGGATGGTTTAATACATGCAAATCAATACATGTGATACACCACATCAACAAAATCAAGGCCAAAAAAACATATGATTATCTTAATAGACACAGAAAAGCATTTGACAAAATTCAGTATCTCTTCATGATGAAGACTTTAAGCAAATTGGGTATAGAAGGAAAGTATCTTAACACAATAAAAGCCACATATGACAAACCCACTGCCAATATCATACTGAATGGGAAAAGCTGAAGGCTTTTTCCTTAATAACAGGAACAAAACAAGGATGCCCACTCCCACCACTCCTATTTAACCCAGTAGAAGTACTAGCCAGAGCAATCAGGCAAGAGAAAGAAATAAAGGGCGTCCATACAGAAAAAGAATAAGATAAAATCAAACTGTCCCTGTTTACAGATGTCATGATATTATATTTGAAAAACCTAAAGACTCTACTGAAAAGCTCTTAGAGCTGATAAATGATTTCATTAAATTGCAGAATACAAAATCAACATGCAAAAACCAGTACCATTTTAATACTCCAACAACAAACTAGCAGAAAATGAAATCAAGAAAGCAAGCCCATTTATAATAGCCACCAAAAAAAAAAAAAAAATACCTAGGAATCAATTTAACCAAGGAAGTGACAGGTCTCTACAATAAAAAGTACAAATCCCTGTTGAAAGAAAATAAAGAGGACACAAAATGATGGAAAGACAGTCCATGCTCTAGGACTGGAAGAATTAACATTGTGAAAATGTCCATACTACCCAAAGCAATCTACAGATTCAATGCAATCATGATCAAAATACTAACGGCATTCTTCACAGAAACAGAAAAAACAATCTTAACATTCACTTGGTACAAGAAAAGACCCTGAATAGCCAAGCAATCCCGAGCAAAAATAAGTAAATAAATAAAGACAGAGGCATACCACTACCTTTCTTCAAATTATACTACAAAGCTATAGTAACCAAAACAGCATGGTACTGGCATAAAAATAGACACTCGGACCAATGGAACAGAATAGAAAACCTAGAAACCAACCCACATACTTATAGCCAACTGATTTTTTTTTTTTTTTCATGTCCGGCAACGGATCGCAACCCTCAGTGTCACGCCCGTACCGGACCGGACCGGACCGGCAACGGGATCGCAACCCTCGGTGTTGCGCCCGCACCTCGCTCAGCCAGTGAGCGGGAACCGGTATGTGGGATCCGAACCCTCGGCGGGAGCGCCGCAGCGCTCCCAAGCGGCGCACTGTAGCAGTGCGCCACCGGGCTGGCCCGAGCCAACTGATTTTTGACAAAGGCCCCAAGGACATACATTGAGGAAAAGACTGCCTCTTCAATAAATGGTGCTGGGAAAACTGGACATCTATATGTAGAAGAATGAAACTAGATCTGTACCTCTTGCCATCTACCAAAATCAACTCAAAATGGATTAAGGACTTAAATATAAGATCTGAAACTATAAAACTCCCATATGAAAACATAGGGGAAACACTTCGGGAAGTAGGATTGGGCAAAGACTTTATGAATAAGACCCCAAAGGCACAGGGAACAAAAGAAAAATAAACAAATTGGATTATATCAATCTAAAAAGCTTCTGCATGGCTAAAGAAAAAACTAACAGAGCGAAAAGACAACCTACAGAATGGGAGAAAATATTTGCAAACTATGCATCCAACGTGGGATTAACATCCAGAATACACAAGAAACTGAAACAAATTAACAGTGAAACAACAAGTAACCTAATTAAAATATAGGCAAAGTAGCTAAACAGGCACTTCTCAAAGGAAGATGTACAAATGGCCAACAGACACAAGAAAAAATGCTCAACATCACTAAACATCAGGGAAATGCAAATCAAAAAAAACCACAGTGAAATATCATCTCATACCAGTCAGACTGGCTATTATCAAACAGACAGAGAATAACAAAAGCTGGTGAGGATGGGGAGAAAGGGTAATTCTCCTACACTGTTGGTGGGACTGAAAATGAGTACAGCCATTATGGAAAACAGTATGGAGGTTCCTCAAACAACTACAGATAGACCTGCCAAAAGATCTAGCAATCTCACTGCTGGGTATATACCCAAAGGAATGGAAATCATCATGTGGAAGAGATACCTGCACTCCCATGTTTATCGCAACTCTGTTTACAATTGCCAAGAGTTGGAAACAACCTAAATGTCCATCGACGGATGACTGAATAAGGGAAAGGTAGTATATATACTCAATGAAATACCACTCTGCCATAAAAAAGAATGGGATTCTGCCATTCACAGCAACATGAATGAACTTCGAGCAAATTATATGAAGTGAAATAAGCCAGGCACAGAAGAGAAATACCACATTTCCTCACTCATAAGTGGGAGCTACAAAAATAAACAAATTTAAAAAAAAAGAAAAAAAAAATACAACAATTCACAATAACACATTGAATGTGCAAAATGAGAGAACAGAACTGAGGTTACCAGAGGTGAGAAACAGAGGGGGTAGATAAGGAAGGAATTGGTAAAGGGCAATGAAAAACGATTATATTGTGTAATGTTAAATATACTAATTATCCCGATTTGAGCATCACACACTGCACACAGGTATTGATATTCAACTCTGTACCCCACAGATATGTACAGTCAACTGTGTTTCAATAAAAAGTATATTTTTAAAAAATTTTAAGAAGAGAAAAAAAAGAATGAAAGATTTAACAATCACAATGATTCATTAAACTTTCAAAAGGAGAGAACAGAATTGAGACCACCAGAGGTGGGAAAAGGGAAGGGGGAGGGTTGGTTAGCAAGAAATTGGCAAAGGGACACAAAATATGATTACATTGTGTAATGCTGGATATACTAATTATCCTGATTGATAGGAATTGAGACCACCAGAGGTGGGAAAAGGGAAGGGGGAGGGTTGGTTAGCAAGAAATTGGTAAAGGGACACAAAATATGATTACATTGTGTAATGCTGGATATACTAATTATCCTGATTGATATTCAAAGCCCTATCCCACAGATATTTACAATCAATTATGTTTCAATTAAAAAAAAAATTTGTATTCACTAATACTACCTATTATAATAAGCAAGTGAAGATCTTTCCATCCACCAAACCAAACACTTACTTTAAGTTATCAAGCTTTATCTGAAGTAAATCTGTATAATAGGTGTTATCTTCTAGAACACCGGAGTTGACCAAAGGCTTAGATTCCATACTTTCATATAAATTCTAAAGAAAGCAAAAATTCCTGTTATTTCAAATAAATAGCAAATTAGGTTTGTATATGTTTATTATTAATAATAGCACCACCACTTATTGAATACTTATTAACTGGCAGGCACTATGCTAAGAACTACACATTTAATTTATTTGCCTTCTGAAGCTGGCAAAAGAATTAGCATTCCTCTATTATAGGTAAAGAAACTGGCTCAAGATGCCATAAGAAAGTAAATCTAGAAGAGAGAATCTGAACCCAGATCTGACGTCAAAGCCTATGTTCCTAACCACACCTATATTCTATGTTTCCCTCTCCTGGATTTTAAAATGGAAGAAATAAATGCTTACTGGGCTGAATTCTAGATTTCATGACAAAGCTATAAATTGGAAATTATGAAAAATCGAGGAGATCCTTAAAGTTATTTTTGATGTCCACTCTTTTGAAATTCTAATGGAAACTCTATGCGTTTCTCTAGTGGGAAAAAGGTAAATCCACTTTCAAAATGGCAAGAAATTTCAAAGATGCAGGTAAAAAGCCCCTGATTTAAGGTCATAATTTTCAAAGTGTAGTGCTGAATCCACTAGTGGAGCACATATGCCTGCCAATTGACATACCCCAACTTTAACCAAAATTGTAGTGCTTGCAACAGTTCTTATAAAAGACAGAAATAAAGTTACATAAACCTTAAACATTTATGATATACTAATGGTACAATTTAGAATGCCCAAGAGGTTGTTAACATTCACAAAATTTGTCATTTATAAACTTTAGTTCATTAGGAGGTTAATGAGAAGATATCAATGCTCCCTAAGTTAATCTATAAAAATTTAAATTTAATGCAATTCTAATTAAATATCCACAACCTTTTTTGGTATTAGATGAGACTTCACAAAGGAAAATAAACATGTAAGAATAGCCAGGAAAATACTGAAAAAGAAAAGGTGTGGTGGAGAATTAGCCCTACCAGACAAAACATACCACAAAACCTCTATAATTAAAACATTGTGGTACTGACAGACAGATAAGCAGACTAATGGAGTAGAAGAGAAAATCTAGAAATAGACTCAGGAACATATGGAAACTTGATATATGACAAAGGTGGCATCTCAAATCACTGGGCCAAGACTGACTTTTTAATAAATGATGGTAGGACAACTGGCTAGTCATTTGGAAGACAATAAAATTAGAATTATCCCTCACATCATACACAAGAATAAACTTCAATGTGGATCAGATGTATAAATGTGAAACATGAAAGCATACATGAAACCACAGAAGCATATTTGTCAAAAACATGGGTAAATTTTTTGACACACACACACACACCATTACATATATGAAAACATGTTCAATCTCACTCATAGTTAGAGAAATACAGATTAAAACTACACTGATATACCATTTCTCATCTATCAAACCAGCACAAATTTAAAAAGTTGTCTTTTTGTCACATTCCATTTTTATCACATTCAATTTTTCTAACATTCCACTGGCGAGGCTATAGAGAAACAAGCACTCTGATACATTACTGGTGGGAATGCAAACTGGTACAAGTTACATGGAGGAGTTTAGGAATATATAACAAAACTACATATGCATTTACTTTTTGACCCAGAATCCCACTGTAGGAATTAACCCTGGAGAAATACCTACAATAAGAAAATGCATCTGTACTAAAGATGTGCTTTGCAGCACTACATGTAATTTCAAAATACTGTAAACATTCTAAATGCCTAGACACAGGAAATGGGTGACTAAACTATAGTATATCCACCCAGTGGAATTCTTTGTAGGTGTAAATAAGAATGAATAAGATATCTATAAACTGAGATGAAGTTATTTCCAGGATATATTGTTAAACGACAAAAAAGGAAAGTGCAAAAGACGGTAGTATGCTACATTTTATTCAAAAAAATAAAAAGGAAACAAGAGATAGAAGCTGGCTGGTTAGCCAACTGGTTAGGGCATGGTGCTGGTAAAACCAAGGTACAGGGTTTGATCCCTGTATAGGACAACTGTCCCCCCCCCCCCAAAGATACATAAAACTACTCATTTTTCGAAAAAGAAACACAGAACAAGTATACCTGAAATGAATGAAACTGGCTACCTAAAAGGGTGGGGGAATGGGGAATAGAAATAGGATAGAAAAGATGGTAAGAATAACATGAAATAGAAGAAATGGGGTACAGATATACTTCTCTTAGTATACCTTTTTAAATAGTTCTGATTTTTAAAACATGTCAATGTTTCACATACTGAAAAAAGTAAATAAATTCAACAATAGATGGAAAGAGGACAATAAAATGGACTAGGGACAGAAACAAACAAACCTACATATATTTTAGAATTTTAGATGAATAACATACGCACACCTGGGGGGGGGGGGGGAGAGAAAAAAAAAAAAAAAAACAACCACCCATGTAATTTTGAACACAGTATTTTGACTATATATTCTCAGACTAAAAACAAAAAGAACTGCAACAAATCCTGAACTCTAGTTAGTAAGTTAGTAATTTCAAAATCATGTGCATTATAGGATTGAGCAAATAACCAATTATATTGAGGACAACAAGAACCAGCTTTCTCACTGTCAGAAGAAGTAGGCAGTAAACCCTATGGTATTAGGTTTAAACTAGAGTGAGTTATCAGTATGGACTCAAGGTTTGTGTGTGTGTGTGGTGTGTGTGTACGTTATGTGTGTGTTTATGTACATACATACATACACACATGCATAAATATACACACATATACTCTTAGATCTGTCTGCTGAGAGGGTCTAAAAGTGATGACATTGCAACAGCAATAAACACATCTAGTACCCAGATCTTGGTTTCTAAATACCATTCTCCACTAAAAGGAACCAACGCTCCTTAGAGAAATGCTTTTCTAGAAGTCTAAATTTGTTTCAAAATGAAACAAATTTAGAGTTTATTAAAGATTTCTACTATGAATTTAAGTTGCCATACAATGTTGGACAATGTGACAAAGCTCCATTAAAAAATGGAAATGGACAACATTGAAAAATAATCCAATTACTGATAACACTCAAAAGGACTAACTCTCACTGACATAATGTTGAGTGGAAGACAGACACAAGTGTAGATAGTAAATGATTCCATTTAAATGCAGTTCAAGAGTATTTGTGCATGTAATGCTAATACAAAGTTAGGAAGTGGGGGAACTCACTTAAAAGGGATGTGGCAGAGCCTTTTCATAGGGCTAGAAATATTTTATAGGGTGATCTGGTCAGTAATCACAAGGAAGTATACATATGCTTAAACTTATTGAGTTGTACACTGAAGACATGGATACTTAAACACAATAATCAGACAACAACAACAAAGATAGGGTAGGTTAGTTTGGCTCTACTAAAATAAGCAACAGTCAAAAATACTGAAAAGCAAAAAGAGACCAGAAGAAAAAAATAATTTAAATACAGGTTTGAGTATCCCTTATCCAAAACGCTTGGGACCAGAAGTGTTTTAGATTTCAGATTTCTTCAGATTTTGGAATATTTGCATATATATAACAAGTTATCCTGGGAATGGCACTCAAGTCTAAACATGAAATTCATTTACATTTCGTATACACCTTATACACATAGCCTGAAGGTTATTTTATTAATAAAAATAAAATGTTAGGGCCAGCCCGGTGGCGCACTGGATAGTGTGCCGCTTGGGAAGCGCAGCGGCGCTCCCACCCGAGGGTTCGGATCCCACATACGGACCGGTTCCCGCTCACTGGTTGAGCGGGGCGTGGGAGCGACGCCGAGGGTTGCGATCCCGTTGCCGGTCCCCGGTCCGGTGCGGGGGCAACACTGAGGGTTGCGATCCGTTGCCGGACACGGAAAAAGACAAAAGACAAAAAAAAAATAAAATAAAATAAGATAAAATAAAATTTTAAATAATTTTGTGCATGAAACACATAACCTGTCACATGAGATCAGTGTAGAGTTTTCCACTTGTGGAATCATGTTGGTGCCCAAAAAGTTTCACATTTTGGGGCATTTTGGATTTTAGATTTTTGGATTAGATATTCTCAATCTATAATAGGTCAATCTACTGAAAATAAAAGTTAATTATACAATAAAGCCTATTTAAGTTAAACATATTAAGATATTCAAACCAAAATCTGGCTGCAATTTTTATGTGTTATACACACCTTGAATTTCTCCAGATTTCTAATTTCACCTAAGAGATGTTTTATTTCACCATTCTTCTGCTCCAGCATGGCTAGCAACCGCTCCTGCTGCTCAAATTCAGTTTGAGAGCCTTTCATCTGTAGCAATGTGGCAATCTGTAACTAGAAAAAATAAATTACAACCCAACAAAACTGAGAGGAAAATTACAATAACTGTATTTTTTGTACAATTCATATTTTGTACTATATTACTTTGAATTTATTTTGGAAACTAAACTAATTAGCTATCTCTAATCATTTGAAAACATATACATCTATAAGTTTTGTTGTAGACATAATTTTTTAGTACTTATTTTGACTACTTGTAAATGACAACTGAAATCTATAACATATTTGTGCTTTTGTGAAATATAAAATTGAACTGCATGGCTGTGGTCTGAAAGCTCATCACTTAACTGACAAATAAGCCTGGCCGAATGTCACATACAACACATTATACGCACTAACTCTCATTAAGGATCTGATGAGGTTTCTCAAAAATTTTATTAACTTTAGTTAAGTGGGGGAAATCAAGCTACTCACAGTCACAAATGTGATGTACAAATGACAAGGATGTAAAGCAAAGGTAAAAGGTAATCTAAGGATATCAAGGCCATCCTCAGCATACAATGATGTTTTCATTTTTTTTAGAGCAGCACTTAACTTACCTAATTATGACTCTACCTAAATCCAGAGTTGCACAGCAATCGGAAGGAAATTACCTAGACTCTAAATCTAGCATTCCTTTCTGCCTTTGGAAATTTCTGGAGTTGTAAAATGCATAAATTAGTTTAAATACAGTATTGAGTAAAACAAGCAATGATATGCGGTTACAGGTGTTTATGAAGAAGAAAGAAAGATGACTTTTAACATTTTTAAGGATATCCTTTTTGTTCCTGCTTCAGATTGGAGGCTAGGCACATTTAGCCTAAGAAGATTTATAATGCTTCTAGTCTCTAAGGAGAGTTTGGGACATCATGGGACACTGGGAAATTAAAAGTAGTAGCTCAACAAACACGGTAAGAAAACAAAAAATAAGTGTGAGAAAATTTACAAAGAATCCATTCCCAGATAGAGGAGAGTTTCAGTAAACCAGACAGCACAGTCTGAAAATCCTTAGAAATAAAACTCACAGCTATTGTTTATAAAACACTTACTCATTTGCCAATACCATGTAAGTATTATACTACATTTTCATTTAACTCTAGGATAATCCTAAGAGGCAAGTTCTATCATCTCCACTTTACAGATGAGGTAATTGATACTATGAAAAGTTAAAATACTTTCCAAAGTCACAGAGCCAGTGAGTGACAGAACTATGACTCAATCCCAAGAACATCTAACTCCCCAGTTTAATCACTGATCTTTTCCATTTCTTTGGTAAAACTCACCAGCCTGAATAAAAGGAAGGCAACTTTCCTTTCCAGATTCCAATTACCACCTTAGGAGAATCAAGCCCAACAGATCAGGGATCAGAATTGTAAAGACTGATAAAATATTAGAATCTTTCCAACTTCCACATTTTTCTTTTACCTCTTATTTAACTAGAAATAATGACCAACAAAGCCCTTAAAATTAAAAGGGCCTATATACTCGACTTGAGGAGCTACACGGATAGGAGACCCTGAATAATCCAAATGTCATTCTATATCAAGCCTCTGTAAGAGAACAGAGGAATGGTGAGGGAGCTAGTTTTAGCTGACGTAGGAACCTTAGGGATGTGTTTAGAATGATATCAGGCCAAGAGCAAGAAATAAAAGGCTTCTTAATTATTTTCCCCCTATTCCACAAAGACTTACACCTCCATGGCAAAGCTAGTGAGTAACCACTAAAAACAAACAAAAAATCAGTAGTCACTAAATATATTATTACTAAATCTTTATTCCTAGATTAGTTTTCTAAAAACTTTAAATGGATCTTTTGATAAACTTTAAAACTGATTTTTTGAAATCATGCAGTTCTAGAACTAACTATAAGTACACCTCTTGAAGAAAAGGATGATTTCTTAGACATATTTGTACGTGATGCTGACACAAAATAGGTTCAATAAACCTTTGATAGTGATAATATACCTTCATTCTTTGCGTCTGTTCTCTATTAAATGCATTTTGATTCTTTAGTGACTGATACTTGATTTTCATACTGATAAGCTGACGTTCCATTGCTGCCCTTCGATCTTCTACCTAGAAAATACTAACATGTTTAATTGTTCTTGTAGTAAATGAAATGCCAATTGATCAACTTAATCATTACAATACTTGTAAGTACCTCTGCAAATAAAGAGTTGCCTTTACAACTAGGATCCAAGGCTTGCTGGAGTGCCTGGTCCAACTGCACCTGAAGATCTTGATTTGCTAAACGAGTTTTCTAAATTCAAAATAAAACAATTTAGCTAACAGAGATTAGATTAGCTAGAAAACAACTTCTTGTAAGTTGGAAAAGATGATGCTACTGCAGTCATAATACCTCTAGGGCATTATAGTAAGAAACTGCTTCTTTCTCTCGCTCCTCTTTTTCTTCTTTGAGTCGGTCTACCTGACGCATTAAGTTGGTAATAAGAAGTTCTAGCTGCTCTTGTCTGTATTGTAGTTCATTCACTTCTTCTTTGAGGGTGGTCTATTCAACAGAAAATGAAAAAGAGGAAATTCTCTTGAATAATCTTTCATTTCAGTCAGTTTATCTACCAGTGGTGGTTCACACCCAAAACCAAAACTAAAGAATTAGTCAAAGACTGTCAGGTGCATATTAAAATAATAAAAGTTACTAAATTTTCCAGCAGGGAACCAAATAAAAAGCTTTAGAGACCACACTTTCTTCCCTATAAATTTAAGTTTTTAATTTTTAATTAACCTTAGCCTACAATGAAGAAAACTATGTTCACATGCATTTCAACTTCCACTGAACCAACATTTTATATTGAACTTTCATGACACAAACTAGGATCAGAATAAATGCCTCTCAATTCTTCCAGAGATTTCACTAATCTAAAGGTAAAGTCTGCCTTACATGGTCATGTAATCTAAGGCTATATTATGAATAATGTAAAAACTAAAAACTCTGTAAGAAATTTTTTAATTAGTTAGATCAAAGGTCAAAGAAATATGTCAGCCTTTAAACTAGCTCATAAGAATTATTACAAAAACATGCCAAAAAAAAAAACCCCTGAGAAACACATGCCATAAAAATTACCTTCATACTTTCCATTTCAGCAAGCTCAACTTGAAGAGCCAGCATCTCTGAAGACATGCTTTCATGCACTCGTTCAGACATTATCCGTAGCTCTTCTGATTTACAAGACAGGAGTTCCTTCTGATGATCTACTTGGTGCTTCAACTGCTTTTCATTAAGCCTAGCTTCATCTAATTCCACTTTCAGTTTTTCTATCTAAAGCAAAAAAAAATTGAAAGGTATATTCTTTCTAAAAAAACATCACTAATTGACCCAAACTTACTGCATAAAACTACTGGGGTTTCCTATTTGGCCACCAAGGCTAGGTATTTTTTAAACAGACAGTGACACCCCTTGTTTTATAAACACAGAAAAAGTCCATACAAGTAATCAGAGTAATCCAAGGTCTGGATTCCTTAGAAGCAACCTAAGTGCACTGAGTTGCTGACCACTTGGCTGCTGTGTGAAGAATGAATGGTATGAACGGCAACAACGGCCGCAGGCAACCTGCTTTGAAGGCTGCAATAGTCATGTAGGAGACAGATGATGGTGGTCTGGACTAGAGTGGCAGCACCATAGATACATATTTTGTAGGTCAAATTCTTAGAACCTATTGATAGAATAAATGTGAGAAATAAAAGAAAGAAAGATATGAATAAAACTCCAAGTGGCACAAGTGATTTGAGAACATCAGTAAAACTGAAAATATTTGATTGATTTACTCTTGGCTCCACCAAAAAAAGCCATCTCTATAATTGGCCTTGACTCAGTCCCTGAATTACTCTTTTTTGTTTAGGTAACAAAAGTCACTGCAAAAATGAAAATAACATACAGGAAAAAAAATACATCATTAATAGCCATTAGTGTCTCAAATCAGATTAGTTTCAGATAAGCTGGACTACTACCTGCTAGAATGGTATGCAAGATGATTGATTCTATGTATTACACAAAAGCATATTTAGATAGTTATGTCTGTTTTACTGCACATTAGGAAAAAATAAAGCAGGTCGAATACGTAATTTCATTGATATCATTACTTAAAGTGAGAAAACATTTTAAAAGAGAGTCAATTTAATGACAAATTAAGTAAAAGTATAGGTGGTACACAGAAATAGAAAAATCTTAGAAGATGCTACACAAAAAGCTAAAAATTTGAAAACAGATTTCTGAGAAAACAGGAAAAAAGTCAGGCAAGTTTCAGTTAGAGAGGGGTCTGGAAAAATGAGAGTACGAGCTCTACACTAAGAGGAGCCATAAAAGTTCTGGATTCCCTTAGAAGCAACCTGAAAGCACTAGGTAGTCGGGAGTTACAAAAGGGAATAGAAAATCACTCAACAATTGTTGTCTATTTACTATTTATATTAGAAATAAAGCCAGTATAACATGTTGTTAGACTAAGTACAGTGACTCAATAACACAGGCTTAGGAGTCAGACTGCTTCAGTTCAAATCTTGACTAACAATTTCTAGTTCTCTAATTGTGTCCAATTTACTCAATCTGTTTAAACACTGGCTCTCTCATCTGTTACATGGAGATAATAATGGTACCTGCCTTATAGAGTTACTGTGAGAATTGGCTCATATATATTAGTTTACTTTTAGTAAAAGAATTATAAAGCATCAGTTTGAATGTACATAAATTTATAAGAAACTACTGGTTTGATTGGCAAAACTACAAAGCACACCACTAGTTGCAGTAAAGGCTAGAGGACTAGGCTTTCTCCAAGGGGACTGCCATACTATGCACTATAAGCAAGAGTGCTGTGCTGATCACTAAACTCAAACTCCATAACAAATAGCCAGTGATCAAAATTAAATGGTTGTATTTATTAGTAAAAAATTATTTACACAAGTCCCTTAGATAAGTTCGTATTTCTCAGTGTTCCCACCCCCAATATTAAGATAATGGAGACCTTGATCTTGGTTATTTTTCATAGATGTGATAACCAAAAGAATCTGCTCTGACCAGGTCAGTTACATCCCAGGGCCTTGGGAGATCTGCAATAAGTCAGAAATCATATCCACCTGTCCTGGAAAATGTTATCATAAGACCATTTTACTTAAAAGCAGCAATAATGGTGCCAGAAAGCCATAAAATAACCTAGAATACTTTTTATTACCCTTATCCTAGATCCCTGCATGTAGGATGTAACCTAATAATAATCCCAAATCTACATGTCATGTACAACCAACAGAACACCTGCTAAAGTAATTAGGCAGGGCTGTCTTTCTCTCTCTCTCCTTTGACCCTTCCCCTTATTGTGATTATAAAATGTTAACTCTACTGGCCCTCTCTGGAACACACTTTTCAGGGTAACCTGATCTGTGTATCTCACCAGTAGCAATCATCATTTTGGCTTAATAATCCTTGCTATATGTATTTGGTCTCAGTTTCTTTTTGGATTAAGAGCTACTTAAGATAATCTTTACCAACTAAAGTTTACAGATGGCCGCATAAACATGGAATACTTTTGCTCTGAAATACAAAGATACCCAAACCTTATTTTTTAGTTCATACACTTCCTGTCCATGGCTTCTATTTAGCTGTTCTTCTAATTTCTCCAGGTGCATTTTCTGTTGTTGTTTAATAGCTTCACATTCACAGCTCAAACTTTCTAACATTCGACTCTTGAGTTCAACTTCTTTCTGAAGAGTGTATTTTTCTTGTTCATAATTCTGAAAACAGATTTAATTACAGTTCAATTACATAAAAATAGCTTAAGGCCATTACATTTAATCATTTCTCACCTTCAACTGTTTCATTCCTGTTTCACACATTTGCTGCTTTCCAAGTAACAACCACTGTTAAACCTGGAATCACTCTGCAGCTAATCAGTCTTCATAAACTCCTTAAGTGTATTTTGAGACTGTGTTAAATTTCATGCTAGGGATGTGTAACTGCTTTTCTATGCCCTGTCCAGGAAGTAAAAAGTGCTCAACAGCATGTCAACACGTCAAGTGATCTCTGTTAGAAAAGAACAGAGAAAGATTTAATAGCACTTAAGTTTTCCCTGCGAGAATGATTAGTTTGACAACGAGATGTTCCATTTGTAGCTCTGAACAAAATGAAGAGATGGTAGAACAGGTGAAAGGAGAAAAACTGAATTAGCCCTAACTTTCAGAATGTAGTCAGTCATCTGAGAAATGTTCACAAAATGTCTACCAGAACGAATACAGTGCTGAGACAAAAAGAGTATTTAAAATGGCTTTTGTGGGCCGGCCCGGTGGCGCACTGGATAAGTGCGCCGCTTGGGAAGCGTGGCGGCGCTCCCGCCCGAGGGTTCGGATCCCACATACGGACCGGTTCCCGCTCACTGGCTGAGCGAGGCGCGGGGGCAACGCCGAGGGTTGTGATCCCATTGCCGGTCCCCGGTCCAGTATGGGGGCAACACTGAGGGTTGCGATCCGTTGCCGGACACGGAAAAAGACAAAAGACAAAAAAATAAATAAATAAATAAAATGGCTTTTGCTTACTCACAGGAAAGATTAGAGCTAAAAAAGGGTATCAGTTCAAACTCCTTCAACAAGCTTTAAAAAATAATTGAAAATTCTATTAAATTAGAGGAAAAAAGACCTGAAACATTCATATTATTCCTCCCAAAGTCTTTCTATTTTAAAGACAAAGAAAATGTTAATTGTTAAACTAACACTAAAATTATCAAGTTATTTCTCAAAACAATCAAGTATAACATGGTTTTATTTTCTACTATTAGAGAGATCTGTAATCTTTATTTTGCCTTTATGACCTGGCATTTAGTTCATAGTCAAGATAGTACTATATGGAAAATAAGGGTTCTCATTAGTTATTTTTACCTGCTCTATTTATAATTTTTTTTAATCGTTTTTTAATTTTAGTTTATCGATATACAATATAGTTGATTTTCATGTCCCTTTACCAATTCCTCCTTTTCCCCCTCCATTTACAATTTTAAGATCCAAGTTTAAATATGTTACTGAGCATTTACTAAATTAAGCCGATTTATTCATTCACTCGTTCAATAAATTTTTTTGTGCCAGGCATTCGGGATATAGCAGTGAATAAGATAGACAAACTTCCCTCTCTCATGAAGCTTATAATCTGGAGATAATTAGCAGAACAAACAATTGAAAGAGTGAATAATGGCAGCTTTACATTATATAGTCAGGGCTGGCCTGTCTGCTAAAGCCAACTGAAACGTAAAGGTTGAGGACTCAATCAATGAAGAGTGGGGATAAGTAACTTGGAAGGAGGCAACAGCTAGTGTAAGACCCATAAAGCAGGACTAGTATATCTAAGAATAAGGGAAAGTGGTTTGAGATGAGGTCAAAGTTTGGCAGAGGTCAGATCACATAGGGACCTACAAACCAAAGTAAGAAGCTCAGATTTTATTGTAAATATAATCAAAAGCCATTAGATGGTTTTTAGCAGGGCTGTGACATGATCTTTTGTGTTTTTTCCATGGCCACTTGGCTGCTGTGTGAAAAATGAACAGTATGAACAGCAAAAATGGAAGCAGGCAACATGGTCAGAAGCCTACAGTAGTTGTCTAGGGGAGAAATGATGGTCATCTGCACGAGGGAGGCAGGAGCATAGGTAGATGTTTTGTAGGCCAAGTTCTTAGAACTTGTTGATGGACTAAATGTGAGAAACAAGGGAAAGAAAGACATTGACTAAAACTCCTAGATTTTTGGCTCAAGCAACAGGATACATGCTATTACATTTACTTAATAAGTATGCAAGACAATGTTTGGTTACTGGATAAGGAATCACCTATTTTGTTTATGTTAAGTTTGGGATGTCCATTAGAGGGCAGTTGAATACACAAATCCAGACTCTAGACATCAGGGGAAAACTAAGGGCTTGGTGTAGTGTCATGGCGCACTGAGATGTTACTTAGAGCTCTGAAACAAGTGAAGTCCCCTAGGAAGAGTACAGACAAAACAAAATCTGGTGGTAATGTGGTAAAAAGAGCAAGTTTTCAAACTCAGAACACACTGGGTTGTAAAGAATAATAGGAATTCATTTAGTTCATTCTCCCTTAATGGTGATGCAGATGCATGAAAACTAGATCTAAAATCGTCAAGAAGTAATAAAATAATATAAATAACAATTACTAGTTAAGGCAAATCTTCAATAGCTAAACACACCCTTATAAACAGAGGAGCCCTGAGTCCTACCTCAGTCATGGTCATCATTTCATTATGACATTTCTCCAATTGACTCTGCAATTCACTTTGGCTCTCCAGTAGTTGTAAACCATACTGTGCAGCTTTTAGTCGCTCTTCTTCAACCTCTTTGAGCTTGCATCGAAGAGTTACAATATCTGCCTCCATATTCTTTTCCTGCTTTTAGCCTACTGTAAATAGAGAAAATAAAACTACTTACACTTAAACAAAAAACCCCATACAATATCAATAATAGAAGAAATATATCTACTCAATACTACTGCCATATAAAAACACAGTATTAAGATTTTCTGCCTGGCTTTAAGTAGTCAAATTTGCATTCTTGTTCTAAGAGCAAGAATTGTCCTGACAATTTTGTTACCTGATTTGAGACCAAATCAAAAAGAGCAGAGAATACACTTAATTTTGCTTCTAAGAAATTCACCATTAGGAAACCGGTTGTTGTGCGCTAAGCTTCCTTAAATGCTAAGGTAGGGTTGGTCTCATAATTGTATCACGATCCATGTAATCAAAGAGAAAACTGAAAGAAGAAAAATAAAGAAACTTGATTTAAGTAGCATGACTGCTACTTAAAAATATAAAGAAGCAGCTTTGAATAAGGTTCATAAGGTAAAGCAAGGAATATCATGCCTGAATTTTCACAACAGTATTAACTTCTGGAACATATTAAATTTACTTTCATCAAAACAGACTCACTAGTATTTTCCTAGTTATTCATAAGATATCATGCAAAATAGAAACCATGTTCAGAACAATTAACGGACATTGCTTTTATTCTAGACTTTCAAACAAAGTCTTAAACATTATACATAAACATTCCACTTTAACTCAACCTCACTTATTAATCTTTTCTATTTGGCCTCAGCCTCTTAAGCCAGACTCAAACTCAGCTTTGCCTTCAAAGTGCACCAGGCCATTACTAATGTGTTCCCCCATGTCTCAAGTCAACATAACATGCACTGAACAAGTACTTCCTTGAATGCTTTACGTGTTAGGCTCCACTCTGGGTACTTCAGGTTCATTAGAGGACAAAATAGACCAAAAAAAAGCTCCTTCTTCACGAAACTTACATTCCAGGAGGGGAAGACAAACAATAAGTAACAGCATAATAATTACATTAGAAAGTGGAAATGGAAAGAAATAGAACACAAGGGAACTCAGAAGAGATGGGTGGTGTAACAAGGAGGCAGAAGATGAATTAGCCATGCAACTATTTAGGGGAAGAATGTTTCAGGCAGAGGGGAAGCCCTAAGGCAGAAGGAAGTCCAAGGAGTGAAAAAAGGTAACATAGGTCAGAGATTAAAAGGGAGATGGGACAAATTAGGCCATTATAAAAACTTTGGCTTCTATTCTGGGTAAAATGGAAAGTCATTCCAAAGCCTGGGATAGATGATCTGATACAATTTAAATGGATCATTTTGGCTGCTATGTTGAATAATTAGGACAGTAACAAGGTTGAAAAGAGAGACCATGTGAGACAAGGGCTCAGACCAGTGTGGTGGCACAGGCATTGAGAGATGGCCAGATTTTGCATTTATTTTGAAGATAAAGTCAAAATGATGTTGTGGCAGACGGAATGTGGGATGTGTGAAAAAGAGGAGTCAAAAATGACTTCAAGGGCCGACCCTGTGGCGCACTTGGGACAGTGCGGCACTGGGAGCGCAGCGGTGCTCCCGCCGTGGGTTCGGATCCTATATAGGGATGGCCGGTGTGCTCGCTGGCTAAGTGTGGTGCGGGCGACACCAAGCCAAGGGTTGCGATCCTCTTACCGGTCACAAAAAAAGACACACAAAAAAATGCCTTAAAGGCTTCTGGCCTGAGCAACTAGTATAATGAGGTTGCCATCTAGCAGAGGCATTGATGAAAGGACATATTTTGGAAAGAAAATCAGGAATTCAAGTATTGAACATGAAAGATGTCAAGTAAGCAGCTGGACATATAAGTAGGACAGGGGTCTGGGCTGAAGATATAAATCTGGAACTTATCAGCATAAGTCCTTGAGATTTGATATCACCAGAGGATGAACATAATTAAAGAAAACTACCAAGAATTGAAACCTTTTACGAGGCAGTGAAGAAGATAGCAAAGTATACTCAGGAGAGACCAGTGACATAGGAGAAAAGCCAAGAACAGTATGTGTAGTCCCAGAAGCCAATAACAGTGTATTTAGGAGGTAGGGAGTGATCAATCATGCCAAATGCTGCTGCTAAGTCAAATAAGGTAAGAAGAGAGAATTGGTCAGTGGATTTGAACTCATGAAGGTGACCTCAAGAGCAGTTTTGCTAGAGAGGTAGGTATATCAGGTAAAAACCTGACTGGAATGGGTGTGAGAAAGAATGGTTAGAGACAAACAGAAGATAGCAAGTACAGTTTTGATGCAGAGAAGATAAATGGAGCAGTAACAGAGAGGAAGTAGGTACACATTTTTATTTTAAGATGGAAAAAAATAACAGTATGTTTGTAGGCCATAGAGTAGATTCAGGAGAGAAGAAAAAGAATGATAATGCAGACGACACCAGAGAACTGCTAGACTGATATCACTGAATATGGAGAATGAGGTCTAAGGTACAGGGACTGGTTTTAGATAGGAGCATATTTCAACTAAAGGGAAAGCAAAGTATACGAGTACAGATGCTGATAAGTAGGTAGATATAGTGGTGGGAGTTTGTAAAAGTGTGCTTCTAACTGCTTCAACTTATCGGTGAATTAAGAAGCAAGTTCTTCAACTGAGAATGAAGACAAGGGGGGAAATACAGGGTTTTAGAGAGGAAAAAAAGGTGGGTATCTTAGGTTTTCTCTGGCTGGCAGTTACTGCTCTAAAATGCAAGGCCCTTTCAAAGCCTATAAATGATGTGGACAGATGGCTAACTGTTGCACTGTTAATAATAACTTCTATTTGTTGAGGATTTACCATTTGCCAAGCCAAGTGCTTCAAATACATTACTCCAATTCTCTTGATGAAACCGAGTTAAGTAAATACTGTCTTCATATTCCAAAGAAAAAAATAGAGTTAACCTCAAGACATCTCAGCCATGAATATCCAAGGAAGCCAAAAAATTAGCTCTCATTCATTCAAAAAGTTTGCTGGAATTCCTACTATGTGTCAGACACTGTGCTAGAGCTGAGGACACAATGGTGACCCAGAAACTAGACAATCTCTCTGTCCTCTTGAATCTTGTAGTCTATTAGCAGAAAGACATTAAATCAAATAATTGAACTTTAAAGTTACAATGTAAAGTGATAAATGCAAGAGGGAGATATATGATGCTACCTGAGCCTATAACAAAGGGGAGCTGTTCTAATCTGGGGGTGTGGGCAGGATAGAAAGGACAAGAAAGATTTTCCTAAGGAAGTGACTCTTCAGCAGAGATCTAATGAGAAAGAGTTAACCTATACACCTGCAAAAAGAAGTCTGAATAACAAACCTCTGTGAAGTCGTTGTAGACAGTTGTGCCAGACATTGTGTTTGGTGCTTTGCATGGATTATATTATTCAGTCCTCTCAACACCCCACGAGGTAGAAGGTATTTTTTCCCATTTTACACATGTGTTAAACTGAGGAACAGAAAGGTTAAGTAACCTGCCCAAAGTTATCAGCCAGTAAGTGGCTAAGTGAGATGGGAACCAGCTCCGGTTCCAAAGCCTCGTGCTTTAACCACTTTTCTGTCCTGCCTCTCAAAAACAGCATACACAAAGCATTTAGGAGACAGAAATGTCTGGGATCAGACTGCCCGAGTTCTTACCCACCTCCAGTACTCACTGGCCGCATGAACTTGGACAAGTTATTTAATGTCTTGTTTCATCATGTATAAAACAAGGACAATAACGCCCACTTAATAGGGCTGTTGAGAAGATTACCTCAGATAATGGACGAAAAGCAATTAGGGAAGAATCTGACACACGGTTAGGGCAGCGCCGTACAACAGAAATACAATGCGAGCCACATGATGATTTTAAATTTTCTAGGCGCCACGTTAAAAAAAATGAAACACAGGTGAAAAATGAATTTTAATATTTTATTTAACCCAATACATCCAAAATATCATTTCGCTGTGTAATCATTAGAAAAATTATTAACGAGATACTACTCTTTTCGTGTTCTATCTTTGAAATCCACAGTGACGTATTTTACATTTGCTGCATTTCTCAATTCGGGCTGCCACAAGTAGCTAGTGGCTGTTGTACTGCACAGCGCAGACCCAGTGGTCGTTACCCTTCTGAGGACTGCAGCCGACCCGGCCTTCCATATTTATCCAGAATCCCCAAGGGGCGGCGAGACGGTCCAACGAAAGATTAAGACCGGCCAGGAACCCGGTTTACAGTAACTGACGGTTCCGGAGACCAAGGTGTTACGGCTAAAGGTCTCGGCCGAGACCCAGGCCCCAAGTTTCCTTAGCCCCCTATTCACTCTTCCCCAGCGCTCCTCTCCACACCCACATCCCACCAGGCCCCTGGCCCCTACCTCTCTCCTCACCACTTTCCCCTCCTGCTGCATTCGACCATTTGTGATGAGACTGAGGGGCTCCCAGATCCGCGACACTCACTCCACCTCACCACGGAGACATCGGTTCATTTACTCAGCTAGTCCACGGGTAAGCGCCAGGACTTTTTGAATGCAGTTCTCGCGAGAACTCCCAAGTCTCACAAGACGTGCCGCCCAAGCCTCGCGAGGAGGAGAAACGGGACTCCACCAGAGCGCCCCGCCCCTACAGCGACCACGCAGGTGCAAGTGGGAGCCGTGGGCTTAGGCGCGCACGCAGGCTAGTCCAGCCAGCCAGTCAATTTTATGGAGTGTAGGTTTCCTGGCTGACTTCTAGGTATCTTAGCTGCTGCATTTGGGGGGGTTGGTTGGTTTGTTGTTTTACGACAGTGTCGTCTAGAGGGACGGTGTCGCTAGGTTAGGCGGCGGAGACTCACCATGGGCACCGTTGTGCCGGCCTCATACACCTGCCAGCGGATTGGTCAGTGCGCTCCCTGAGGGTCCTTTCCTCTGGTGTCTGTCTTATGGTTCCAGGAATCTGAATCAGCGTCACGGTGCCTCAAAGCATCATATGACAGCTTCACAGTTACTATTATAGGACCGAATGACAGTTACCATTATAATGGCGTTAACATTTGAGTCTTCACCAGGTGCCAGTCCGTTTTAATTTTACACGGATTATCTCATTTAAGCCCGCAAGCAGCCTTATGAAGTAGATAATACTACCTCTCTTTTTCCACAAAGGAAAACAAAGCCCCAAGAAGAAAAGTGTCTTGTGCAAGTGATAGAACTAGAATTTGAACTAATGCAGTCTGATCCTAGAGTCCAAGCTCTTGTGTGTGTGTGTAAGTAATAACGTTTTGTAAATCTGACGCATATTCATTATTCAAAAATTTAAGCAATCAGAAATAATAATAGCCAACATTTAATGAGCAATGCTGAGTCCTAGTAACTACTATATGGGTCGTGCTGTGCTTTTGAGTCCATCATTTCTAGCATATCTGAGGACTTGGCTCTAATGCCCTCTTTTTCACCATCAGTTTTTTCCTTCTTTATTGGATCTTACATATCAGTAAATAAGCATGCTGTAATGACTTCCATCTAAAAAAAAAAATTAACTCCTTGACCTCAATCAGCTACCACCCCATTTGTTTGCTTCCCTTTATAACAAAATTCCTGAGGAAGAAGAGTTACATTCACTATCTCCATTTGCTTACCTTTTCTTCTTTTTTCTCCCCACTTCAGCCAGGGTTTGATACCCTTGAATACTATGAAATGGATTTGTCAAGATCATCAGTGATTTTTATCTTGCAAAATCTGGTAGTCAATACTTGGTCCTCACTTCTCTTGACATTTGACAGAGTTGATCTCTCTCACTGAGTCTTTATGTCTTGGAAGGCGGAACTGTCCTTATTTTCCGATTCTCAGTTTTCTTTGCCAACTTCTACTTCTGACTGAAGTAGGCCTGACAATAAAGGCGTGATCTGGTTTTTAAGACTGGAAACAGTGATGCCTTCAAGTTTCTCGCAATAACAGTATAGCCTAGCAAATGCATCTGGGGGCCAAAATGAGCCAGGTGCTCATTGATTTGTAATTAATTCTATGCTCTTGGATAAAAGAAGTAAATTCCATATTCCCTATTATTTAACAAAGATTCCTCAACTCAGGAGTCAGGAAGTTACTGTTCTATCCTAGGCCAGTCATGCCTGGCTGAAATCAGGTAACCTAAAATCAATCTGAACTTTTTTACTCTCTTTTTTTTTACAAGGGTAGATAGACCCTACAACGTCATTAATGTTTCTTCCAATTTTATTTTTTAAATATATATTTTAAACTATTAATTGTATGACCACAATGTGCTAGGTATAGTGGAAAGAATTTAGAGATATGGTAAACTTGACTATTGTCTGGAAGTTTCTCACGATACAGTAGGGGATTTTAGGAAAACAAATATAAATAACTACATGGCTGTACATAAATGCCTATGAATAGTGTATGCCCTACGCTAAAGGAGTTGTGTGAAGGGAGAAGTCTCTTTTGTCTGGATGTTTGTTTAAAACTTCATGGTGCATGTGTCATTTCAATCAATGCCTTGAAGGATGGCAGAGCTAAGGAGGAGCTTTCTAGGGGAGGGGGCAGCATTAGCAGAATCATAGAAGCTACCTATATCATAATTAAGGTCATTCTGTAGGAACAGTCTGGATAGGGTGGTGCTGATACCACACTGAACACTAGATGTCACAAGTGAAATAAATTCTCGATGGTCTCTACTGCTTAAGATAACTTTATGCTTCTGATTTACAGCTCCAGATGCAGATCTCCATACTCAGATAAGGCCCATGTACTGTGCCCTAAATGCTAAAGGCCAGGGCGAAAAGAATTTGTATCTATAATTTTAAGTTTACATAGTGAGAGATGGGACTTTGCTTCTTCACACAGTAGTGGATTCACCACACAAAGAAAGGGAATTTATATTCTGTGAAACAACAAAGACAGAATCCTCTCACCCCTTTACAACTCCTAATAGTATAGCTGTTCAAAACTGGGATAGACTGCTGTGGTTAACTTGTCATCATTCCTTTATTATGGCACTTCTAGCTGAAATTAGGGGATTAGTTATCAGAAATGGTGTAGAAAGGAATATTATTTTGTACTGAAAGCTGTATATATTTTGACATGAACCTATTGAGTGATTATTTTTGGTACTACATGTGAATAGTATGTGTACCCAAGGAACTTAGGGTTTAGTGGAAGAGGCATTTAACAAACAATAAATTTTTACTTAGAAGTTAGGTTAGACTTTCTTTTTCCTTCAAGTTATTAAATAGAGCTTCAGGCTAGTCTTTGCTGGGGCCAAGCAAAAACAAGCCCAGGACTCTGAGACACAGAGTCTGCAAATAAGAACAGGATTAATTTATAAAATTCCATGATTCATACGATAGGCTGGTAGATGAAGTTCTAGAAGTGGCACTCAAGGGTGCAGTCACTGAAACCTGGAGAATGGTTGATGTCAAGAAAAAAGGCTTAGAGAGAAGAGAGCGCTGTGTGCAGGACTTTGGGGATTGTAATCCATGGAACAGGAGGAAAACAAGGATCCAACGAGAGAAACAGAAGAGCTATATGAGAATAGATCAGGAGACTGAATTGTCACAACTCCCACTGTGATAATTAAAAAATCAAAATGAATAATTGTACCAGGCAGGTGGATTTGACTTAATAGTAACAATGATAATGAAACCCAGTGTGCAGTCTTTCCTGGATCTGCAATGTATAGCACCAGCTTCAACTCTTAATGAGCCCTATTGCTATACTCTTTTTCCCTCTAAATAGGTGCAGTACTCACTCAGAGAAAGGGTGGCACCATTCTAATATAGGGGACATTTATTGGTTAACTTCTCAGCATCAATTTTTTTCCTCCTTTTCCTGCCCAAAGTATTCTGATTATTCTCTGGGTAATTCATCTTTTCCTTCATTTTCAGCCATGTAGACTCTTTGAAATTGATCTTACCCTTCAGCTGTAGGATATCCCATCACCTTGGTTATAGTAATTGGTTCAAAGATGGGCATGTGACTGAATCCAAGCCTGTGTTGATCTGTTTTCTGATGCTTGTAACAGAATACCCAAAACTGAGTAATTTATAAAGAACTGAAATTTATTTCTTGCAGTTTTGGAGGCTAGGAAGTCCATGGTCTGGGGGCACATCTGGTGAAGGCCTTCTTGGTGCTAAGTCCTGTGGTGAAAAGGGTATCACATGGCGAAAATGGCAAGAGTGCTTTCATGTGTTCTCGTTATAAAGCCACTGTCTCCACCTATAATAATCCATTTCCCATTACTCTATGAATATATTCATCTATTCACAAGGGCATAGTCCTCATAATCCAATCACCTCCTAATGGCCCCACCTGTTGCTTTGCGTTGCTTCGCCCCGCACAGATTTGTCACCCTACTTCCCCTGGGTGATGGAGATGCAAAGGATTACTCAAAGCCCATCTCTTCTGAGCAGTGAGAGGTCCCGAAGTGGTTAATCTCCCTTTGGGACGCTCAAGCAAGAGCCATCCCTTCCTTGGGAAATTAACGCCGAATTGAGGTTCTCTTCCTGCATTTATTTCCCAGACCAGGAAGTTACAGGAAGAGACATAGGTGGGGTTATAGTTTAACAGTGTAGGCTGGTAACTTTCAGTGAAACAGGCCAGATGACATTCCAGTAAGGCAATTAAGTGGTCCTATCAACAACAGTTTGATATTAGCAAACATTCCTTCCTATAGCAATTTCTCAGTATCTTTACATAACAATCAGTAACTAGTCTGTCTTTGAGCCAGCAACCTGCTGTGCCACAATTTTTATCTTGCATTAGAGACTTATAGCCTGAGGGAAATTTCCAGTCCTCTGCAAGGTCAATATTTGAAACTGCAAGGCTTTGGAAAACCGGGCCCTGTGAAGTACGTATGCTTTTTAGTGTATTCCACACCCGCCTTTCAAATACCATAATTAGATTTACCCACTCTCAACACTGTTACAATGGGGATCAAGTTTCCAACATATGAACTTTTGGGAGACACATTCAACCCATAACAAAGCCAATATGATAAAATGAGATTCTTCGCTGAGACTGCTAGAAAAATCTATTTTGTTAACTCTCTTTATTATGGACAAAATTGTGTCCCCCCCAAATTCATACATTGAAGCCTCAACTGCCAGTATGACTGTATTTGGAGATAGGGCCTTTAAAGTTAAATGAGAGTAAAACTGAATGTTCCTAAGTTCCAGAGATCTGGTGATGGCCTCTTTGAGTAAAATGCTCTGGTTGAACTGAAAGGAAGGTTTGTCCTAAATGAAGGGGCCTAGTGGATAGTGGAGGAAAATAAG